TTTCCATTGGATTGTCAAAAGGAAGAAATAATGACAGATTTCTTTACAGATTTAATTGGCTTTTATTTGCAATTCATGAATTGGGGCAGCCTCCATCCTACAGAATAGAATGAGAATTCCCACTGAGCAATGGCCAAACAGTGGGTTTTGTAAGGTGGAATAGGGAGACAGAACGACAGGAAAAAAAAATGCTGACTGGTTATTGTCAGGTTACTTCAGGTTATTTCAAATTACTTTTTTCTGTAAAGGTTAAAGCAAAGGGACCATTTTTATTACACTCACTCAGGTAGACTAGAATCTCCTGTTTTCAGTAAAAAACCAGTCTGTCTGGGGAATCTACATGCTTCCTTAAAGTTCCAGTTTGGCTCTGTGGCATTTTGTGTGAGTTACTTCATTTTGATTTTGTCTGTTCTCCTGGGGCCTTGTGTAGGGAGCTCAGTCTGAAGTGATGGGCTCCCAAAATTTTTGTTTAACAGTATGTTAGGAACCACAGGGGTAAACATGTAATAGCAGGTCTTTTTTTTTTTTTTTTTTTTCTTAAGTCAGCAAAGACTTATGTGTGATTAAGTAAAGCACAGGAATGAATTTCCATGAATGTGACTACTTATTTATATCACTACTTATAAGGGAGTTAAAAGTAAGTGGAAAACTTAGTGACAACCTTGAACTCCCAAATTATCACCTGTTTCTCGTAGATTGTATTATGAAAAACTTAAGTAAATGAAATCATCTCAGTACAGCTAAATCTCAAACACCGACTTGATTTCTGGCCTAAGGAAACTCTCTACAGTCATGTTTCGGTGACATGTATCCTGAGCCCCTGTCAAACAGGCTGAGGGTGCCCATGAAAGTGACATGAGATTCATTTGCATTGTTAACACTTTAAAGTCTGTTGTATGAAAGGTATTAATTCAGGAGTGAAATTTAACAACTCATTTGTTCCTGAGGATTTATTGAGCATTTATTGTATACGCAGCCCTGTGTAAACCAAAAATAAAATTCTAAGCCCCCTAGTCAATTGAATGGACTTCCCCACCGTCAGCTAAGGGCATTCCAAGGTAAACCTGAAAAGCAAGTTTAGGCCCTGTGGGAAGAGGGGGTCAGATACGCCTCATTATACCCTCCCTCTTTTGGAATTCAGGCACAACTGACCAGCTTTTACATTAAAACAGACATCTTAAGGCTGTCCAAACAGACTCTCTGTAGCAGTACAATACATCACAAAACGATAGATAGCAGGCCCTGAAAGAAAAGTATTTTACCCTGAAATATATGTCTTTGACATCTTTTAAAATGGCCTTGACAAAGCTGTCTCTTTTGGGAACTATCTACTTCCTGTAGAGAATCCTCCTTCCCTTTCCAGGCCTTTTCCTGATGCAGGAGAGATTTACTAGGAGTCTGGCACCTAGAGGTCTGATAAGAAATATTCGCCATGTCTTCTCTCTGAAGCCTGCTACTTAGAGACTTCATCTTCATAATAAAAGCCCTGTTCTCCACAACTCCTTATCTTAACCCAGACATTCCTTTCTATTGATTCCAGGTCTTTAGATAATAAGTTAACCCCTTCAACCAATTGCCAATCAGAAAACCTTGGAATCCATCTATAACCTAAAACTCCCCACCCCTCAAGTTGCCCCACCTTTCCGAATTGAACCAATCACACCTTATACATACTGATTGATGTCTGCGTATAATTTCTGTCCCCCTAAAAATGTGTAAAATCAAGCAGTAACCCAATCACCTTGGGCATGTGTTCTCAGGACTCCCTGGGGCTGTGTCATGAGCACATCGTTCATCTTGGCAAAATAAACATTTAAATTGCTTAACACTTGTCTCAGATGCTTTTTGTTTTACACCTGTATTAGGACATGGCAAATTAAAAAGATTAAAAAAGACACTGAATTTCTGTCTATAAAATATACTTATTTTGAGTAAAGTGAGGTTATGTTAATTGATTGGTACATACTACAAAGGATAACAATAAAATGGAAAATCGGTGAAATTTTAAAGAAAATATGAAGACATCGCTAAAAGTCAATGGCCTCAGTTTTCATCCTATTTTTAAGATCTAACCTTATCTTTGTGGTAGAGGTGTTACTGAGCACAGGTTCTGGGGTTCTCAATATGTTAGAAATTGACATGAGGCCAGAAGAGTTTTTCCAGACAAGGCCTCATTGGAGCTTATGCCTGGACATAAGGGAGGCAACAAGACAGGGAGAGAGACTGAGAGAGACGGAGAGAGAATTCCCTGGCTGACTGACAAGAGCCTGCAGCGTAGGGCTTTTTTATTAGGCAAAGCACAGGAGTTGACAGCAGGAGTGGGGTATACAGACCGGCGTTATCTGGATGCTATGCTTATCCTAAGTAATGGGCCTCCTGCTGGCCTGGAAGAAGGCAACAGGCCTGTAAATCAAGTGTTTGGCATTCCCTGCCAATCTGGGACACTCCGCAACCTTGGTGATCTCCCAAGGCCAGTTCTTGGAGTTCTTTAAGTAAAAGGCATGGTTCAGACATAACAGCATCAGTGTGGGAGTGGTATAAGTTTTGCAATTGGTGGAGATGCATGAACGAATGCTCTAGTGAAAGAAAGTTGAAGCCAAGCCCCATTCCTACTCTGTCTCAGAGGGACTTTTAATTATTAAATTTAACTTTTGAAAATTTCAATTTTCTTAGAAAATAGAGTATTGAGGCTATATTAGTCCAGGTTTTCCAGAGAAACAGAACCAATAGGAAAACCAATAGGAACCAAAGAGAAGGAAAAAAAAATTACTATGAGGAAAGCCCGTGGGATAATTTAGTCCACACCAGAGGACCTGAGGGCCAGGGGAGCCAATGGTGTAAGTTCTGGTCCGAGAGCAGGAGAAGGGAGTTGAGGTATCCTAGCTCAAGCACTCAGGCAGGAGAAAAGGCGGCAAATTCCTCTTTCCTCTGCCTTTTGTTCTGTCCAGGTCCTCAGTGGATTAAACGATACGCACCTACATTGAAAAGGCCCATCTGCTTGACTCGGTCCACCCATTCAAATGCTCTTCTCTTCTGGAAAGAGCCTTAAACACACCCAGACACAGTATTTACTTGAGCATCCTGTGGTCCAGTCAAGTTGATACCTAGAATTACCCATCATAGTAACCATTCACTGGAACAATGATTCACTCAACGACTCTAAAGAAAGTGGCTTTTTTTTTCTATAGATAAAGGATTCTCTTAGTGGAGTGAAAGATCAGACAGATAAAGGTTAGCAAGTAGAGCCAAGCCCTTGTGATCCCTGGAGGAATTACTCCCATCGTTACGTTTTTTATGAAAGCGCTTTCTCTTCCTGGGGACTTAGGTAATATCTTCAAATTATCATGTCTTTAAAATTCATATGTCTGGAAGGAACTTGACAAGTTCATGTCATCCAAGTCCTCCACCACTGTGACTCAGAGCAGTGGAGTGGCTTGCGTGGCATCCCACGGGAGCTGCTTCCAGGCCCTGCCTTTTGCCTGTCCCCTTCCACAGACTCCTAGTGTGTAGACTTTGAAGATCATTCAAGAGCCCTGTAGAAGCTGCTGAATGAAAATATGTTATTGCCTCCTTGTTTCTCGGCTCTTCTGTTAGGGAAAATTGAGAAAACGAGTTTGGGCATTTGAAAATGCAATACGGTAGCTAGATGCTGGCAACACAAAAAAGGTGGGAGCTATTGTCCCAGCATTGGTCACAATGAACGCACTAATCATTTTAACAGAAAACTTATATGCTAGCATCTATGAAAACACATGAGTTAGGTTCTCTTTTCAGTTCATGGATGATTTAAGTGCATTCATAACTGTGTATTCTCTTGAGATAAACTTTAAAAAAATTATGCCATTAAAAATATTAAAACCTTTCCTTTTTCCTCTCATTATTCCCACATCTCAATAAACCATTGCTTGAAAGGAGACTCAAAGCAGAGAAATGGCGTGTCTCTTAAAACTTTTTCAGATGGAATGCCAGCATTTTGCGGAATGGGGTTGTAAGTGCCTTGTCTGGGTTTCTCAGTTCTTAGCACCATTTCCCCAAATTGGTTGTAATACAATCTCTGTCCTTGCAATGAGTTTGTGATATGCATTATCCTCATGAAACCACTATTACAAAATTATAACTGAGACAGTGAAAGAGACCTGACCTAGCCAACAACATCTTGCTTCTAACCTCTAAGCGGCCCTTGGTAATTCCTGGGCGTAGGCCAAAATAACTTTGGGAGAAACTTTGCTTATAGTTTATTGTTTAAAATAAAGATGGTAACAGCCCTTTCCCCAAACAAACTCCCTTCTTGCCTGGGGACTAGACTGCCCTTGTAGGACTAAAAATTTAGCCAAAATATTAGAAATTATGGATGAGGAGTGACACAACTCAAGGCTACAAGATTCCGACTCTCCCCAGATTGCTCCTGGGGATAATACTAAAGCAGCTGCGTGGTCCGGGGTAAACACTGGGGTTCGTCATCTGGCGCCAAGAAAATTTAGGGCATTGACACACGCAAGAAGTTTAGGAGCAGAGGTTTAATAGGCAGAAGAAAGGGAAAGAAACGGAAAGTAACACAGCGCTCTCTCCAGTGACAGAAAGGGTACTTCCGGGGGGAAAAGGCTGGCTGGCGGTGGATGCACTGGATTTTACAGTCAGGTATCTAATTTACATAAGGCTCACAGACTGATTCCATCAGGTAGGACATTTACACCACATGTGAAGAAGGCTGGCCGCCCCGCACTAATCTCATGCAAAAGAACTTTCCCCTTGGCTGGTGTCATCTTATCTGTTCCTCACTGTACACATGGGTGACAAAGAGAAGAGAAGGTGGAGCTGCCATCTTGAACATGATTGGCACAACTGCTGGCATCTACGTCTGCAGTTCGATTTTACAGGCTGCTCTTTGTTAGAAAGGAAAGTAACTTGGGGCTGCTTTTCATTAAAAGGAAAACCTTACCAAGGACTTCTGTACCCTCACTATCTGCCTAAGCAATTTCTTTTTTTTTTTTTTTTTTTCCTTTCATACTAAGTTTTATTGTATGCTGCTGCCAGTGTATATAAAACAATTACCCTTGTGAAATAGAAATTCATGAAAATTCAGAGAGGTAGATGTTAAGGACTGACAGAAGTAGAAGTTTGTATATTATGTATGGCACAAGTGTTACAGGGATAAGCTTTTGTACAGGCTTCAAATGGAGCTCTCTCGAATATTCACTGGATCATAAGAAGTGGTTTGGGAAACCTTTTAAAGATTCATTTTACTACAAAAAGGAACAGACTTTCTGGGGTCTGAAGGGATTTGTACTTGAAGATACTCCAGTCAGCAGAGGATCATGTTGAGCATTCTGCAGACAGAATTGTTTCAAGTCTGCAGCTGCCTGGGAAACTTTTACGCGGTTGAGCCCGGCCTCCAGCCGGAGCTGTTGAACCACTTTCTTCATAGCGGCGACGCTGGAGGAGCCAGACATGGTGTACTGGAGGGCCGGGCCGATTCGTGGGTCGGTAGGTGGTGGGCCGTGGGTCGACAGGGCCAGACAAGTGAGCTGCGCGCGGCGGAGGCCTAAGCAATTTCTTCTAAACCCCTGTATCAACATCACTATTGTAAAACCTAAGATCAGTACTTATTTTGCAGACACTGCACTTGAGGGATCAGCTGGCACCACCCAGATCGATAAACTGGCTCATCTGATCTTGTGGTCTGCACCCACGAACTGACTCCGCAGAAGGACAGCTTGACTCCCCATGACGTCATCTCTGACCCAACCAATCAGCACTCCTGACTCACTGGCTCCGCCACCCACCAAGTTATCCTTAAAAGCTCTTATCCCCAAATGCTCAGGGAGACTGATTGGAGTACTAGTAAAATTCCAGTCTCCCAAACAGCTGGCTCTGCATGAGTTACTTTTTCTCTGTTGCAGTTCCTGTGTCTTGATAGATGGGCTGTCTAGGCAGTGGGCAAGGAGAACCTGCTGAGTAGTTACACTCAACACAGACTCTAGATGTCACAGGCAGTCAGAAGTAGAACCAGAGAGTCTGACATCAGAATTTACATCCTTAAACCTATGCAAAACAGAATTTACATCCTTAAACCTATGCAAAAATGCTACGTGAAAAAAGCAATAGCTCTGGATGGCACACTTTCTTTGGGAGGAAGTAGAAGATGGATCATTGGAATTTGCAAGGTGGTAAACCTGGATGGGAATTTGGAAGGAGTGCTGATTTGAGAGTAACTCAAACTAGGACTAAGAAATGCATAATGCAATTGCCAAAAGGGAAGATTGGAGTCAAGTCTGGAGATCCTTCAATGCGAATCATATTCATTAGCAAGTGGGTTAGCAGCTTTCACAGAGATCCAAATACGGCAGCCTAAATGTGTTAGGGGCTTACTCCCTCACAGAAAAGAAGTCAGGACGTCAGCTCTCCAGGGCTTCAGAGGCACAGACTCTTGCTGCTTCTCCATCGTCAGGGTCACAGGTTGGCGCAGGAGCTCCAGCCTTCTTTGAAACTGCCTTTACAAAAATTATAACAGTGAAAAAATTATGACCTTGAAAAATCTGACCTAACCAACCCTCAGCTTGCCTTTACTCTCCAAACTGCCCTTAATCACTCCTGTGCCTGGGCCAAACCAACTTTGGAAGACATTTAATTTATAGTTTAAGTGATAATGGCCCTTCTCAAAACTAAACTGCCTTTGGGAAGCTAATGAAAAAACCAGATTAGGAGAAAGAGGAGCCTGGATTCTGCTAAGGCATAGACATAAATGATTACCAGCCATTTATCTGGAGGTCACAAGAGTTTCAACTTCCCCAATTATTCCTGTGGATAATGTCACTGTTGTAGAACCTAAGACTGGCCTTTTGAGATGTCTTTTTTTTTTTTGAGATGGAGTTTCGCTCTTGTTACCCAGGCTGGAGTGCAATGGCGCGATCTCGGCTCACCGCAACCTCCGCCTCCTGGGTTCAGGCAATTCTCCTGCCTCAGCCTCCTGAGCAGCTGGGATTACAGACACGCGCCACCATGCCCAGCTAATTTTTTGTACTTTTAGTAGAGACGGGGTTTCACCGTGTTGACCAGGACGGTCTCAATCTCTTGACCTCGTGATCCACCCGCCTCGGCCTCCCAAAGTGCTGGGATTACAGGCGTGAGCCACCGCCCCTGGCTTGAGATGTCTTTTTAGTTGTTTGCATTTCTGAGGATGATGGCTTCACCTGAGCCTGCCAAACATCCTGTGGCCTCACTCAGAAGAGAACCACTTTTCACACCCCCATTCGTTTGCCTACCAAACTTTCAGGGAGATTGATTTGAGTAATAACTCCATCTCCCACACGGCGTGGCTGGCCTCATGTCTTCCTTTATTGCAATGCTGTGGTCTCAGAGAACTGGTTTTGTCTGTGCAATGGGCAGGAAGAACCCATGGGACAGTTACATCTTGTCTGTGTTCTAGATCCAGTTCAGAGAAGGGAAGAGTGAAAGGGTGCTAGGTCATATCCTTCCAGCTGAGTCAGCTCTGCTAAAATAGCTTATTATGGGAGTTTTAGTGACTTCATATAGTTAAAAAGAAAAACTTCAACTGAATTAAATTTAAAGGAGTTTGAGCATTGAATGATTCATCAGTTGGACAGTCCTCAGAGTCACAGCAGATTCAGAGAGGCTCCGGGGATGCCTTGTGGTCAGAACAAATTTATAGACAAAAAAAGTAAAGTGATGTACAGAAATTGGAAGAGAGGTATGGAAGTAGCTGGATTGGCTACAACATGACGTTTGTCTTACCTGAACACAGTTTGAACACTCAGCAGTGTGTGACTGGCTGAAGTACTGCCGCTGGGATTGGCCAAGACTCACTGATTGTTACAGTACATACTCCTAAGTAGGGTTTCAAATTGGTCTACCTAGTAGGTTAGGTTGCAGTTCATTCACAAGGTCTCAAAGAACGGAGTTCTTCTCAGGCCATATTTAGTTTGCTTTAACATTTTACATCTCATAGGTCACCGCTGGCTGAAAGGGAGACTGGAAAATGTCATCTTTTAACTGAACGTTGCTTCCTAGAACAAAATTAGTGTTCCAAGACAGAAACGAAGAAAGATTGTTGGATAGGCAATGTCAACCTCTCTAACCTAAAGAGGGTAGATATTTTTTTAGGCCATGGGAAGCTGTTAGAGGATTTTGAGGATAGAGGTGATGGAGTCAAGAAGGTGAAATTGGCAAGTGTGTGAACGCAAATAGATCAAGCAGAGGATGATGCTCATGGATGTGCATGGAAAGTGGATGAAGAGTCCGATCTGCTCACAACCATCTGGGAAACTGAGGCATTTGGATGGCCCAGCTTCAAGAAATGCCTTCTCCAAGACAGGTGCGGTGGCTCATGCACACAATCCCAGCAACTCAGAAGGCAGGAAAATCACTTGACCTCAGGAGTTCAAGGACAACCTGAACAACAAAGCAAGATGCCCATCTCTACTAAAAATAAAAATTAAAAACTAGCCAGGTGTGATGGCATGCACCTGTTGTCCCAGCTACACGGGAGGCTGGGGCAGGAGGATCACTTGAGCCCAGGAGTTCAAGGCTACAGTGAGTTATGCTTGTGCCACTGTACTCCAGCCTGGGCAACAGAGCAAGACCCCTTCTCTAAAATAAAATTTATTAAAAAAAAAAGAAATACCTTCTCTGCAGTCCTTGAAGTTGCAGGCCTGAAAGCTAACTGAATCTTTTTAGACTCAGTGTGAAAACTGATGTCTGCTTTCATGTGATTAGCAGCTTTATCAAAAGCTATTCCTTCCAGAAAGCTACTCTAAAGCATTTTATCTTCTGTCCTTTGCACTCATTTTAACACTATTATAATATTTTATAATTGAATAGTATTTCAAATTCTCTTAAATTTGAACTATGTACAAGTGGGCTTAGAAATTTTGTCATCTTTAGCATGTTAGCACCAACTTATATTGAATTTATAGTCATAATCGAATGGCATTTATTTTTTTATTTTTCGAGACAGAGTCTTGCTCTGTCACCCAGATTGGAGTACAGTGGCACAATCTTGACTCCCTCCAACCTCTGCCTCCCAGATTCAAGCGATTCTCCTGCCTCAGCCTCCCGAGTAGCTGGGGAGGCATGTGCCACGACGCCTGGCTAAATTTTTGTATTTATAGTAGAGACAGGGTTTCACCATGTTGGCCAGGCTGGTCTCAATCTCCTAGCCTCGTGATCCACCTGCCTCAGCCTCCCAAAGTGCTAGGATTACAGGCGTGAGCCACCATTCCCAGCCTCAAATAGGCATTTAGATCAGAGAGATGTTCATGAACTTTATGACTCAAAAAACAAAGCCCAAATATACAAAATAAACTCAGCAATATTATTTATTATTTATGAGCCAGTATGCACGTAGTGTATAATAATCATGGTAAAATCATTGTTGATCTGATATGACTTTTGAGTATAGTCATTGTAATGCTTATGCACTTATGTTAATGGCTAGCTATCTGGATTGGGAATATTGGGATTTCTGAGATATTCCAGTGGTTTATGGAGACAAGGGGATAGAATATTTGAAATTAGAAGTGTTCTGTAAATGTCATTGACTTCCTGCCTTGGTTATCCACCCTATGAATATTAAAAATTATAGAGTTTATGTTTGAACTAGAAGCATTTTCTTTTAAAAAGGGACACAGAAGTGGTGTAATCTATGTTGTTGTCATCGTCACTAAAAGTTGGAAGTTTTGTTTTGTTTGTGGGCTCACACCTGTAATTCCGAGGTGCATGGCTACAATGAGACATGATCACACCACTGCACTCCAGCCTGGGTGACACTCAAGACCCCATCTCAAAACAGAACGTAACAAAACAAAACAAACTTTCAACTGGCACTATTGCAAGGAATGGCTTGAAATGGCCAGTTTCCAGGCCACGAAAGCCTCTGAAGACTTCTGGGGACTGAGCTACAGAAAAACAGGCAGTCTATGTCAGCAGCTTAGAGAATGCTAAAGAATACGTACGTCCATGGTCCATGAGATACCTCCTATTTACCACAGACTCATTCTCTTACCTTAGTAAGACATACTTGCTTTAAAGACCATAAATATATGTTCTCTTTTGTGGTTTAAAACTACTTTTCAGCTGGGCACAGTGGCTCACACCTGTAATCCCGAGATAGCAGGATCTCTTGAGTCCAGGAGTTGAAGACCAAGCTGGGCAATATAGCAAGACCCCATCTCTACAAAAAATACAAAAATTACATGATGTGCAACTGTCATCTCAACTACTTCAGAGGCTAAGGTGGGAAGATCACTTGAGCCCAGGAGGCGGGGCCTACAGTGAGCCATGATCACACCGCTGCACTCCAGCCTGGGTGGCAAAACAAGGCCCTGTCTCAAAACAGAACAGAACAGAACAAAAAAAACTAGTTCTCTTATTAAAAAAAAAAAGAGAGAGAGATTCTACTTCTAAAATGCAGCTGCTAAAAACTGATGTGGTCAGGGCAGCAAGTGTCTCTTTTTGTAGAAGAGTTCCATCTTAAAACAGAATTTCCCATCCCAAAGTCTGCACTACTTGCAGAGGAAGG